TTAGCCTCCCCACCGTCCTCCACTAATAAAAAAATAATATTTTTCTTTGACTACTTAACAATCGTATTAATCAATATTAACCCGAATAATAACGGTTATTAACACACAAACGTTTGTTTAAATGATGTATTGCGGTGTTTGAACACCCGAATATATTCAACACCCGAACCCGAAAAAATTATTCGAGTGCAAAGCCTTGATTTGTAGTAAACACTGTCTGTTATGGGGAAATTATTCCTTTTATTCTAATATTACTTCATTGAAAAAATGAATTACTCTTTTTATATGACGTATAATTAATTAATAGAAAATCCACAACTTGATATTAACACTGTAAATAATGTTAATAATCCTTTTTTACATTTATTTATCTTATTTTTCAAAATATGAATTGCATTAATAATTTCACATTAATGTATAAAGAATATTTAATAAATATTGAATACTTATATAAATATAAAGTTAATAGGTGTGCATGTTGTGATTGATAATTAAATGATATTAAAATATCGACGGAGAGAATAATATTTAATTTTTGGTAACAATACAATTTTATTTTTATATTAACATGTACTTCATATAAAATATACATGATGGATTTTATTTTATTATCACTTGGTAATATTCAGAGTACTTGTTTAAGATTTATTAACCGATATTTTATTCAAATTTTTTATTCCTCGAACTGAGTAAACACAACAAAAACTAAATATATTTTATAACGTTCTTAACTTAATTTTGTATATAACCTGTATGTACCAAAATATTTTAAGTCATTTTTAACTAGTTTATAATACTATTTATTATACTATCTTTTTTAATTCTATGTAAGTCTATGTATTTATCCGTATTGTTGATTGGTAGACTAAATAGTTTAAAGCAACTTGTAAGGTGAGCAGTATCTTTTAGCTTTTTGAAATTAAGTTGATTTTATGTTTAAAAAATTATTACAAAATATGTTCTTGTTTTATTTTACAGTAGATATTCATTAATAGAAAAAATAAATAATAATTTAACAGTTATAATATCAGATATATTATCTGCGTATTAATTTTTTTTTTTTTTTTTTATAATAACAAATACGAATAAAATTATTTAGGGTCATAATGATAAGAATATGAGAAGGCTTCATGGAGAAATGGGATTAGACAGTTTTGCTTAAATACAAATTTGTCAGTCTCCAATGACGGTTTAAATTTTCAGGGAAGAGAAACAATCACTTCTCGATGAGAAACCTCTACTTTCTACTCCTAACACGTAATTTTCGAGTGTTTTATAAATAACTGTAAAAGTAATAATATAACATAGTTGCTGAACATTTAAAAAAAAAAAAAAATGTTTTCATTGATTCGTAGAAAATTTGTCATTATTTGATAAGAATGTCTTGGTTCTTACACAATTTTTTCTTTTTAATAAAAAGAAACATCTGCTTATTTACTTATAGCAAATAAAATTTCTAGATATACTGTAGATAAAAACAGAAATACATTTTTTGTAATATGTTCATTCCGGATATGGTAAAAATTGTTATTATACACACAAACACAATTTTTTGTTTAATACTAGTTATGAAACCTATCAATTTTATATTTGATTGATTTATATTTTATCAATTATAATTGGTATCTAAATAATGTTTAATTTTTTTGAAAACGTGATACTCGTATTTTCTAAATACATTTTAGAATAAATTGAATTACCCATTGAGCTTTTGGAATTAGATTTATTTTATAATTTAAGTGCAATAAATTAATGAATTCATAATTTAAAATACAAGTAATAAATCATCAGACCATGGTATTTATTAAAATTATTTTTATTATTTTATATTTCGTATAAATATTTATTTTTAATACAATATTATTTATACGTGTCTTAACTCGAACAATTTTTGACTGAGAAATTACTTGTTATGTATTAGTATTAAAATCTAAAAGGTTCAATGAATAAACTATATTAGGGTCTAAGGATCGTGAAAACTATTTTAACTACTTAATGATGAAAATACTCGTATTATAATTCTAAGACGATTTCCTAATAATTACAACGGTAGAGATAACTTAAAATTATTAATAAATATATTTCGACATAAAAATCACAACAATTTAATACTGAAAACAAATAAACTTTAATATTTTTGTTGCGTCAAAATGCATTATTAGATATACCTAACTAACTTACCACTAAATAATAAAGGACAAAATAGTCATAATATTTAATTATGGTTTTATAGGATTACCGATAAGATTTTTATATATGTGTTTTTTACATATTTATCTAAGTTTTCCATAATTTTAACGAAGTTTTAACTATGAAAAAACTACTAAATTATTAAATGTAGGTATACGATTTTCGAAAAAATTAATTTAACAACAAGTATTATATTCTATTATATTCTATTATAAGAATTATATTCTAGTTATTAACCTATAATCATTAAACAAAAACAATTCATAATAATTGTATGAAATAACTTAAATGGTTATTTTAAATTAAGGATTCATATTAACTTGGTATTTTTGTGTAAACCTTATAAGTTAAATTACATATTTGATTTTAGTATTTACTATTTCATTTGAGTTATAAACATAATTTATAAAACAAAATATGAGGATTGACGATTTAACTGCTTGCATAGTTGATTGAATTAAAACTGTATTATTTAAATACTTAAGTTTATAATCTTGTGCATAAAATATTTTAGATTTTTATGTATAAGTTTGTAAGACATTATGTTTTCATTCTGTCCGCTCGTCCACAGGTTTATTAGTTAACAGTAAAAATTTAATATTTTTGGTATTTAGATGTTAAATTATATTCATACTACCCAGTATTAAAAATATCAAAATATGAATTTTAATATAGATGCATATTAGCTACAAATAAATAATAGTTATCTGTTGTAATAAAAGTAGAAACTGCAAAATATAATTAAATTATTTTTGTTTTTATACGTAAACACATATAAGTAACCATATTCTTTTTAAATTGAAAAATAGTTTTTTGTATAATATTTATTATTTATTTATTTATTTTATTACATTTTAACGATGTTGTTCGTAGTTTATTAATATTCTACTATAGTATTGTAACTACTGTATGTTTATACGGATTTTCACTCTAAAATGTTTCCATTTTTACGTATATACCTTATTGAATGGTAATAATATTTTATTTCTTATTCATCAATCTGTTAAATAAGTATTGATTTTCAACTTCATTAAGGTATGTGAAATGGGGCTCGCGATTTTGTATTAAGTAATATGTGTACACGTTTCTAAAATGAATTAATATCCATGTATTGAATTATACGTGTAAATAAAATTCGTGTACCCGTGTATTGACATACACGTATAAGTTAGTGTAGTTCGTGAATCCGTGTATTTGAAATACACGTGTATTTTTTTACAGTTTATTTTAATTAATTAATATAAATATAATATTTAATATATACAAGTTATATACATATATATATATATTACTTATAAGCTGCAATTATATTACAACATTGGTTTTACATATAATTTAACCATAATATAGTATTAAATATTAATCTCAAAACCTTAATAGTACATAAATATAATACTATATAATAATATAAAATATATAATTATACTATATATTATACTATAATAATATTATACTATAATTATTATATGTTTTGATAATATTAAATGCATTTACAGTTTGTTAGTGATATCTTAGTGACTTTCATACTTTGTGTTTTCTCGTAATCATGCACCTACCTAATGGAAACCTAGATAAAACTTAAAGCATCGTTTTTAATAATAGGTAATATTCTCATTCTTTAATTTGATGTTTACGCTAAAAAGTCGTATATTTATTTAATACACAATTGAATAATTAAAAATATTACAATGAACAACCGATTAAGCTGGGTCTGGCAATATACTAATCGTCAAGTAAATAAAGCATACTGCAGTTTATGTTCTGTTAATGAAAATAATGAGTTCTGTTGTAATGGCGGTACCACAGGATTTTTAGGAAGACATTTAATGACAATTCGTGTTGAATTATTCTTTATCTAATTTTCTGTCTCTTTAAACATATTATTTATTTATTACTTTAAGTTATTATTATTAAATTATTAATATTTCTTTTTTATTTATAAATCATCGAGTACTTATATTTTTATGTTTATTTTTTTACTTAATTTATTCGTAATTATTTTGTTTAAAATGTATTGTTACTAATTGTATTTAATAACTGTATTTATTCAAATCTAAGAAAATAAAATGTTTTAGACTAAAAATACTATAAGTACGTATTATTCATAAACGTGTATAACAATAAATATATATTTCATTATACACAAATATATGATCTACTAAAATCTATAGTCTATACATTTCATAATGAGAAAATTTGATCGATAGGCACATTTTTTTTTAAATAAAATACACGGTAAACGTAGTAAATACACGGGTACACGGGTACACGGAATTTAATGATTGTTTATCCGTGTATTATATTTACACGAACTTTAACACCGATTTCTTAAATACACGTGTACCCGTGTAATTAAATACACGTAAAATGAAGACCCCTAATGTGAAATAAACATCGATCCCTATTATTTAATTAGCTGACATTAATTAGAATTACCGTTGTCTTAGAATTGTCACATATATATTTATAATCCGTAGTACACTTACTCGGTTCACGCATTTTCTCAATTTTACTTACTTATGTCATATTGTCTTATTCTTTTATATTTTCTAAACCGTCAACAGTTCTCAATGCAATTTTTCTCATGTTCTCTACAAAAAAAAAAAAAAAAAAAAATACAAATATTACTGATGTGGTAATTGCTCTCTCTTTTTTGTTATGTGTATATTGTACCATATACGAATACTAAATTTTATAGAATTAGATTTAAGTATGAAAATATTTAAATAGTTGACTGAAGTTATGTACTATAGAGATAAAGCTTTTTATTATTAAGGGTTCTAAGTTATATTTTTATACTATTGTTTCAGATATTTTAAGTAAGAAATCACGATGAATATCACTACTATAAATAACGTAAGTTGAATTAAAATATTTTACAAATACGAAATAATAATATGATTAGCAATAATTTTTTCCTATCAATCTTATGCTATTATTCAAATACAAAATAATAAGATTATGTATTCAAATAATTTAATAAACATTTGTACTATTTGAAATATTTATCATATAGACTTGTGAGACTGAAAAATCTCCAAATCCTGGTTGGTGTCCTAGTCTTTGGGATAAATTGTTATGTTGGAAAACTTCAAAACCTGGTGTTTTAGTTTATCAAGCATGTTTTAATGAACTAAATGGAATGAAATATGATACATCACGTAAGTAATATATTCAACATAATATAAGTATTAGTAATAGAATAATTTAGACGGATTTATTTTTATTAGTGTTTTGTTAAAAAAAAATTTAAGACATGTTTAGTTAGTGATATTTAATATTTTTCAAATTATATAATTACAAATTAAAAATAATTTGTTCAAACAATTTATTTTAAACTAAAAAATATTTGCGTAAAGTCATTAGTTCATTATTACTCGGAAAGATTAAAATCTAGAAACAGTATAATAAAAATTGTTTAATTTGTGCGTTTGTTTTCAAAAGTTCGATCAGAAGGATTAATCCATTCTTTACAATCATGAAAGGTTTCTGATAGTATTGTTGGTACTTTGGGGAATGTGGGTGGTTGTAATTTTTGAATTTCTCAATTATTTTCCAAATATATGATAAAAATAGAGAAATATTAGAAAATACTTCAATTGATATCCAGTTTCGAACTTTGCACAGCCTAATATTATGTTATATATTATTCCATTTAATTACCTATACGGAGTATTTTCATTAGCATTTTATAGACATTTCAGAATTTTTAAAATATTTTATTGTAATTACCACTGATTATAGGTGCTTAAAATTGTCGATTAAAAGTCGAACATCACTTATTAAGAAATTGGATTCTACTATTATATCTTTCATACTTAGTAATATAAACTGATCCATCTGACTTCTTTCACTCAGAATATTTTTTTTTTTTAAAGTAATGGTACAATGGTTTTAAATTTAAAAGATTAGTATAGCAATATAATTTACCTGTATACCTGTATCTCATCCAATCGAGGAATCTTACCTGTTTATTATATTAAAACTATATATTTTATGTGTACGATATTGTACAGAAAAAAATATTAAGTTGGCAAATATTCTTTAATAAGCAAACATTATATATAAACATAATACATATAATATAATATAACATTATAAACATTAAACATTACTTCGGTAATAACACATATAAATTATATATATTAGCTTGCAACCTAATCTAACCTTGCACTCTCTGTTCAATTACAAATAAAATTGTAATTTATAAAGCCATTTTAGAAATAAATGTAATTCTACGGCAGACAGAGGCTCCGATAAATCAGGGTAATCGTATAGCAATCTAGGATTTCCAGTCTATTTGTTTTTTCCTTCTCGTCTTGGCTTCCAAATTTATCATTTAACTCTATAAAGATTTACAAGTACTAACATTCACGCAAATAATCAAAATTCTTTAATTTTTCTTTTCATTTAAAGTTAATACAGTCATAAAAATCCATTTAAAAGTCGTCTTTCTTCGTGCAAAATACTTGAAAATCTTAGAGCTCTTCATTAATCCACTTAAAAGAAACTTCAGTCAGATGACACTAAAGGATGTCTTCTTAAATTTTTAATTTTTGTCACTATTATTGTTAACATTAAAATTATTTATTCTTCTAACATTCATGTATATACTGTAATTATATTGTTTTTTTAGTACATAATATATAATTAACTACTATTTTACTAAATCATTATTTATTTTTTAGTAATGAAGTTTATAATGTAATACGATAATTATTCATAAAAAAAATATAAATATAATATTACTATTTATGTAATTATATAACATACTAATATATATTATATAATTAATGGCACTGGAAAATTAAACAAATGAGATGGAAAGTATTATTTAAATAAATTGTTTATCTGAATCTTATATAGTAATTACAGTTATAATAAAACAAGGTTTGATTTATGTATTTGAAATATTTCCTTATTATCCAGGTTTATTGTTGTCATCACTTAAATATTTAAAATTATATTCATATTTTTAGATTTAACTATTTGTTCTATTTTCAATCAAATTATTTTAATAATATGTTCATTTTAGACATAACATGTCATACAATAAATTTTATTTTATTTTAAAAAATAATAATATAAAATAAAGAATTTTAGCATTTTTTCTAATAATTTTAGTGATCTTCAGGACATTTCTAAAATATGCAATTGATTTTAAATTTTACGGGAGGATTCAGGAATTAATTATCATTAAATACGATTCATTAATCACAGTGATTAATATTTATTTTATTGAAATTATGTAAAATGTTAATTTTTTAATTTTGATAACTGTTAATATTATACAACCATTGCTGGATAACCAATACATAATTAAATATCATTAACAAAGGACTAATTTTAATAGTTTAATTGTTTTTATGACTATGCTGAACTCTTAAAGATTATTAATTCTTTAAAACCCTAAGTTACTCATTTTTTCCCCATAGTCAATATATATTTATAAACTCATAAAAAAAGTTTTAAATGGTAATACAATATGCAATTATTTAAGTTATAGGTATAGCTAAGAAATAATGATATAATATTAAATGTAGGTACATGATCAATTTTTTTTCAAAATCAACTTTATTTATTTTAATTAATCGTGTAATTTATACTAGATTGTAAGACTATGTATGGATATATTTTTCCTTATAAATGAAAATAATGAATTAAAATTAAATTTTGATAATTTCTGTTATATCTACAATTTGTTATCATATTAATAATATATTTCATCAAAATACCAATATTTAATAATATACAATGGTAAAAAAAATATTTATTTTTAAAACAATTAATTGAAATATTCTTCGTTCTGTGTTTTCTATGTCAAAAGAAATCGAAGTACTTTGGATTTAATTTTAGCATTCATTTCAAGTATTTTTGGTTAGTTTTTCGATGGAAATAGAAAAACTCTACTATATAAGCCAAAAAATTACCTTTTTAAGTACTTTTAACGTTTAATTTTCGATTTAAATCTACTTTTATAATGTATTTTTCCAACATTTGTTACTTATTTAATTGAAATTAATGAAAAAAGTATTAACATAAGATATCATTATCACGTTATTTTTTTTTTTTTTTGTATATTTGAGTGTGTTGAGAGATCATTTTGATTTAATCTGTTTTAACGGGATTAACTGAAGTACTTAATAGTAAATCTATTTTATAGAAAAGTAAAAAAGAAGCCACCAATAATTGTTAAAAAGAATTAATTGAATTCTGTAGTGAAAACTCGTTAAAATTAGTACCAGTCACAAACTAAAATTAAACTTCTGGTTATCTATTTAAAAACCTACCCAGCACTTGAAATTGTAAGCTTATTATTTTTATTTTTACTCTTGTATATAACTGTGATGTTGAGAGTTTTCGCTAAGGTTACAATCAATATTTATTTTTTAAATAAATTGTATAAGTCGAATTTCTTATGCTTAAAATTAAATAACATAAATGTAATACACAATTAATAATGTAAGTTTTAACCCGCAACTATAAAGAAGTATTTATTAGTCCATTTCTTATAATATTTTTTCTTCATAGTAAATAGTATATTATCTTATATTATCCAATACAATAATTCATATACTTAAAAACGATGTAATAGTATGATTGTTGAAAAAATAAATCTCATCTAAAGATTTATCTGGTGATTCATAACTGTATTATATAATGAGCTTAGTAGATCACGAAGATTTAAATATTCGAAAGTTTTATGATCGTCCAACTTATGAAAAGTTTGAAACTTTTTAGTCTGTAACGGATTACTGTTCTTTACATTCGATATTTTTACGCAGATGTGTACAAATCTTTTGATTTATTAAAAATGTATAATACTTTTTACAGAGAATGCTAGTCGATATTGTAAATCTGACGGAGTTTGGGATGAGCATTCTGATTACATGCATTGTCGACCTTTAGAAACAAATAATCCTATGTACCCAGATCCATCGGTTGTATATACTTCATACTTCTATTATGGTGGTTATACTATATCACTAGTGGCACTGGTTGCAGCTGTTTCTATATTTGTTTACTTCAAGTAAGTCTAAGACTATGTACATTTAATTATTAATTTTATAAAACTGTTTTATTTAAGTTAATAAAATATTAAAACAAACCATATGAAAACTAAAAATGGATGACAAGGTTTGAATAACAATAAACTTATATAAATTTAGGAATAAAGTAAAGCTTTAGTTATAATGTTAACTATTTGTTTAAGATATACTATTAAATTGTGAAGAATATTACAATATTACTTATTGTAGCAAACATTTTTAACAATAAAATAATTTATTTCTTAACAAAAAAAAAAAAAAATTACACACAAAACACGAGTATTTTTCGTGTGGACTAGAGTAGTTAAAAATTCTTAAAATGGCTTGAGACTAGAAAAATTTTTATGGATATATATTCTTTATAAATATATAAAGAGTTTGATTAAAAAAAAAAAAAAAAAAAATACATTTTTTTTATTAATTTTATCAAAAGAAACATTAATGCTAAAATAATTATCTATATTTTTTCAATTTTTCGCATAGTATATTCCTTACAATCAAATAACCACAAATAAAAAAATGATATTAAGATTGTATGGAAAATTTAATATTCTAAGTGTTTTGGCAAAAAGTAAAGTAAAACATTGTTGTTAAGAAAGTAAACTAATGCATTTCTGGCTTTACTGGAAATCTGAGATACATAAAATATGGTCTTATTGTACTCACTGTAAGCGTAAAGTTAATTTGGAAATTTTAGCTGAATAGAATATTTATTTGTTAATATAGTTAAATTATAACCACCTTTTAGTTTATGACTATCTGAATGAAATAGTAATATGTATATTCAAAATTCATCATCCAACCAAATTCAATAAGACCCATTAATTTTATTGGAGGGTAATAGCTAAATAAAAAATACAATATTGTAAATATGATGTTTTAACATAGTTTGTTAATAGTTTTTAAAATTAAAATTAATCAAGTCAAATAATAATAATAAAAATATTATTATAAAGTTGGCAAAAACTATAAATAGGTATTGTAATATTTGAGGATAGGTTTTAGTATAAATATTCTTATATATTTTTACTAATTAAGTATTATTTTAATTAATAAATAGATATAAGTATTTTTTATAAGCAATTTTATGAATTTTGGAATTTGAATAAGACTTTCATGTTTTTATATCTGTAACTAATATTTATGGATGTATGGGGAGCGGAGGGCCAAACAGTACATGATGTCACAATGTGGAAACCAAATAAGAAACGACCGATAGGGAGGCCAAGGCAGCGATGGACAGACCGAGTTAAAGAAGACCTCAAGCTCCTGGGGATTAGAGAGGGAGAACAACTGGCGAAGAACAGAGAATTGTGGAGAGGCGTAGTAGAAGCAGCGATGGACCTTCAAGGCCCGGAATAAGCCAAAAAAAAAAAAAAACTAATATTTAAATTAAAACTCATATATTTTTACTTTTAATTACATTATGAGTAGGTACTAGAAGTTCGTATTATCATTAATGTAATGAACATTTCAGTATCAAAAACATTTAGAATTACATACCTCAGCTTATCGTTTTAACATACTGTCACAATGAAAGGTGAATTACAAAATTTTAACGGGTGAACGTTTAGGACATTATTTTAATTTAAATATTTATTCTTTAATTATTATAAAATAGGTATGATTTTTCTGTTAAAACTATAGTTTTTTTTTTTTTTTCATAACAAAATGAAAAACAGTAAAACAAAATAATAATGAAACTTAAGTATTGAATATTTATTTTATAATCATAATTATAATAAAAAAAAAAAATCAATTATGTCTGTCTACGTCAAAGTTCCTAACTCTATTCATTAAAAAGTTTTTTATAATAAAAATGTATCGAAATATGATAAGTATAGAGTTGAAGGGTTAAATATAAATATTTTTTATTGTGTATTAAAAATTCAACATTAAATTCATATATATTCATTAATCTGCAGTATCAATTGCGATAAAGTCTGTATTCTTATGTACTTATTACATCTTACTGCATCTTAGCATTTACCAATTCTTAGAACGTAGGATGAGTGGCTGCATCCATTTTCTCCTAAAATCGATTAGCAGGCATTTCGTTTTATGAAAATAGTACACAGTTTATACCTATATTACCTGCTGACTACTATGTTTACTTATACATTGGTTTTAATTAGTAATAATAAAAGCACTAATCAGAAAAAATATTTATTAAAATTATTTATTCTTTATGTGAATAGTTCAAAAAAATAAATAAATAATCAAATATAATTAATGTATTTTGATGAATAATTATTTTCTTCATTATTCAACTAATGTATATTTTTTAATAACTTTAAGTATGAAATATGTGTTATAATTAAAAAAGCCAGTTGTTTATTAAGATTGAATCTTATATCTTTGTCTTTTAATTCTTTGAATATGATTTTGACATATACTGTGTAGAGACATAATGATACTGCAGGTATACATTTAAGACCTTTTGCAGCTAATTTGATGGGCGTGCACATGTATAATTACATTTAAAAACAACGATAAATCCTTACATTTGAAATATGATTCTGGACTAAGTTCAGTTGCATTGTATAAATATTTAATATAATATTACAAAATGTTATGTAACTATAAATGGTTATATAAATAAAAATAAAATATGACATATATTTATAAATATAACTTATAACTAAAAATATATTGAGTACAAATTTTAAATTTTAAGAAAAACAAAATATTCTGTGTTCAAAAAATTGTCCGCAAATTAATTAAATACACATTCACTAATTAATTACTTCCATATATATAACTCAATGCAATATATATCTCTATTATAAATGAGGAAGTATCTCTGTCTGTTATAAACCGATTTTGATGAAACTGGTACGAAGATAAATTAAAAATCGGAGAAGAACATGGGCCTTGTCGCGAAAAAAAATTAAAGAGAAGCATCAGTAATAAAGCATGAGTGTCTCTGAATGGGCAGTTGTTATTGTTTTATTGTTGTTATAACGACACGAAAAAATAATAATCTAGGTACATGGATTTTTTTGCTATCGTTAATGTTCTTCGATAAAATACATTAGTTTTTCCGGTTCTTCCGGTTTTTCGGTAGGTATTTTACTTATTTTTTACTTCAATATGCCTTGCAAATGTAAATCTAATTTAGAGCGTAGTTCTAGTGGAGCTCGCGCTGAAAAAATTGCTAGAAGATAAGAATCTGAGGAGTAGAACCAAACCCGTTTAACTTTAGTTGCTGAGCGCTACCTATCTAAAAGAACTGCTGGGACTGTAAGGAAAATTCAAGCTTTTAGATTTCGCATAGATTTTGAAGGGAATTAAGGTCTGTCAGATTTTAAACGTTAAACGTCAAACTTTACTGGTAGCTGTAGAAATCAATGAAGAGTCGCATAGATGATGTGTTTTAAATGCTAAACGGAAATCACAGAAGAGACGTACATTTTCATATAGTACATGGGAGTGGTTTAAGTATTCTACTTTTGATTATGACCCTTTGATCGACTATATTAACCATCGATTAATTCTCATAGAATGAATGGATAAAAAGTGTAGCCATGATAGAGCATCAAATTTGAAAGAAGGAATACCGGGTTTGTACTTTTCTGACAGTAAAGTTTCATTTCTCCACTTGTTGAATCAGAAAAATTCCTAAAATCTTTACTTTTGTAAGATATCAATGAAATATTGTTATTTTATAACAGAATTAAGAAATATAAAGTTTGCCTTCAAATGAGGTCGTTTGGTCCTGATAATGAGGTTGTTCTGCCTGAATTTTCAAATACATATTAATCCATGTCAAATTTATTACAGGATTGGCTCTTTACTCTCTACATATGATTAAATAAAATTTTTAAAAATTCAAAAGAGATAAAAAACGCGTAGTATGTTTATTATTTGCAAAATTAGTAAGGATGGGTCGATGTCACTTAACGATAAAATCGATATTACATAATATTAGCATTAAATTATTTTACTGTGGCCCACCACAGTACTATTAATATTTATCCGCCGATTCCAAGTATCGGTTCTAGGATAACCCACCCCTAAAAATGATTATATAAATAATATAACTATATGTGACATATTCACATACAAAATAAGCCACTAGTGTTGTTATTTTAGCTCAAAAAAACCGTACACTAAATATTGTATGTAGATAGATTTTCAATTATGTTAATATGAAAAACTATAAAAGAAAACAAAAACATGAAGAAATAAATTAAAAAATTTAAAAAAAATTAAAAACGAAAAGACAAAACAAAAATAAAATAATTAAATTAACATTTTTAATTAAAAAATGTGTTAAAAGATATCGTAAAATTTCTTTTAAAACTGTACACATACTAAGCCGGATAATTTAGCTATATCAATAATAATAAAAATATAATCAACCACTTCATTGTATTTTAACCTTTCATTTTTGTATTCATGTGTACAATTAATAGAATTATTAATCTATCAACCTTCAAACAAAAAATATATTTTAATAATATTATATAAATATTTTTTAATTATAAACACCATTATAAGTTATGTTTATTAAATATAAACGAAACGTATCACTTTAACATTAGCGTAAACAGTGAGGTTTTTAGTAGTGCTTAGCTCCCCCAATCCAATGTATCACAATATTATTTTATTTTAAAATTTCGCAGTCATTTCGCAATCATTATTGAATGAAATAAATTGTTTGCAATTTTTAAGTGTGCAACATTTATGAATTATTTTATATTTTTGATTTATTCAACAGTGTGAAGAATAATGTACCTCATAAACTAATAAAGTAATGACTAATTTAATTATGGTATTCAATAGTATTTTATTATTTTTTTAATTCTAAAATATGAGAATATAACTGATATCTGATACACCAATATATTATTAAAAAAAATTATAAGTTAATACGAAATTAATAAATAATTGTAAATGTATGTCAATATAATATCAAAATTAATTTTGTGCTAACATTTTTAGTTGAAACAATAAAATGCATTATAATATTATTGATTACTCTTTAAAGAATAACGTTTAAATTTCCGTTGCTTTTATAAACTCCAACTTATCGTCATTAAAAAATATAAGCTTACATTTTATATTTTAAATGAAAGTTAAATTACTTAAAATTGTACTAATATCGTTAACAATTTAGGGTTTGTGTATGTCTATTTGTGTATTTTATAGCTTTGCGAGGAGTTCTTGGTGCTACAAAATCTCTAGTGTCTTAGAAATACGTCTTTGCTAACCATAACGAGTGAAAATATTTTCTTCATTTTTATGATCAGACATAAGCTGGTCGGAAAATGAAATGTTTAATAATATCTAAGAATAAAAAATAATGACAGAGATTTTGTAGACCATAAACATATTGAACTTATGTTTCCTTATATTATTATTGCTTCACCAGTTTTACAATTAATTGTTTAATATCTAAAATGTATCATTACATTTTAGCAAATTATTTATTTTAAGAAGTTATTTTTAGCAAGATATCATTATGATAAAAATAAACATGGACCAAACATTAATGACACACAATCAACTATTGACATAAATCAATAGTGTGACTAATTATGGGTTTTATCATAGACCTAATATATAAAGTAAAATACTTAAATTTATTAGTTATTTCTTATTGATGATGGAAGTGAACAAGTTTTGTGTAGAATTGTCTAATGCGTTTGTCATTTTCATTTGTAGTCTTATTGATATGATGGATTCTTATGCTAATATATATATATATATATATATATATATATATATATATAATTATATATTATAATTTATATTTAATAATAAATAATATTAATATAAATAATTAATAATTAAATAATAATATGACTATTTCCTCGCACCTTATAATCCTACTTGATACATTGTTTATTTATTTTTGTTAATTTATCTCATATCTTTTATCACACAATAATATATTCCAAAGACCTAAAACTGCTTATAACGCCTTTGGTTTTCCCATACTAGCTCTGTCTCTATCGCATAGATGTTTACTTCATTGATTTACATGACAATCAATCGTTATGCGTGGTCCATTATATAATAGGTCTATGAGTTTCATGATTGTTTATTATCTGATTACCTGTTATATAGATAACTAAAGCCTCAAAGGCACCCGTCAAGGGACGCAACAGGTACCTTAAGAACAGTAGGTTTATTTTTCTTAAAGAAATAATAAATATATAATTTTATTCAGACTATCACTTGTTACTACCAAACATTAAAAAGTGTAATATTTTTATTACATAATAAAAATCATTTATCATTAATATTTACATATTCGCTCGCTGAAGCGATATCAGTGATTATCCCAGGTGAGTGTTATTGTTAAATGGCGATAAATATATTTGCTCGGAATGGCCCTGGGATTTTATAGAGGGAAATGTGTCTCGTGCTATTGCGAGTCCAGAATTAATAAAATCCACTGTTTGACTGCGGGATGGATAACCCAATAACCTACATTTTGAACTACCTTGCCGCAGAAGGAAATTCGGGAGATTGATTTAGTTTACGGTTTTCGGTGAGACGTTCTTCCCGACTAAAGACAAACATCACATCGGGACAAATATCAACTTATTGCATCACACACGCTTGACCGTTTTTTTTCCATTTGATGTCGTAGTAGGACTGTTATCGAGTTATTTAATGTAAGCTCGCTCGTTGATAGTGATATTTATTTAATGGATAGATACCATAGGTGAAACTAGACATCACAGTTTTAGACTTGGTGAATAATTAATTCTTAAAGATATCACAATATTTTTTTATTGATAATAGTAATATATATAGATTATGAAAAGATGAAATATTTTGGTGGTGATCACATTCAAAAATATACCCGGGTTCTAATTAATTTTATTTATTTATTACATAGAGCCTTCGCTCACCAAGTCCCCTTGTATTTTATAATTTTTTAACTACTGGAATATTTGTATTGCAGACTTTTTTTTCATTTTTTAAGGTAGATATCAATTTATATTTTATGTACCATGAAAGCAATCATATTAAATTAATATTATATGTTATATTTTATGCAAAAGAGAAAATATTAAATATTTTTTCGTATTATCCTACAGACTACAGAGAAACAGGTACATCACAGGATAGGCTTTATGATAACCACAGATCTTATGATATAAGACGTGGAATTTATTTTTTATAACACTATCCGTTCTTTGATAAACAATAAAAATTGTATTTGTACAAATATGGCCCCCTCTGCGGACTCTGGCTTTTTCTTTAATAAATGTATATCTATACTATACAAGATAGCGAACATTTTTACATTTTACATGAATAAAGTGAAGCCCGTTTTAATCTTATAGTACAGAATTGATATCTGTGAATAAATGTAATAAAGTTATTAGTTATTAATCAGACTAATCAGAACTTGCATATAATATAAAAATTGAAGATTTAATTGATACATTCAAAAACCTCACTCCCGTGGACAAAAGGATGGAGTTGTAAATAGTATAATAATATGTAAATAAGGATTTCTTAGATATAAATTGTGTAAGTTTAAATAGTATTTATTTTTATATTTGCATATTGAATTAAATAAATAATTTATAAAATTTAAAATATTTAACTATACTAGTAGTCTTTAGTATAAGAATCTTTGGTTCACTTTTTTAAGGGGCCCCCTCTGCGGATAAAGTCTGCGCACGCCTATGGACATATATGGATTAAACATTTTCGCAACTTCGTGATGACTGATCGATAACAAAACTAATTAATTGACCGAAATGTGTTATTATCAAATCTTATAAAAAACCGTGTGGTCATCATTAGACGACAGTTTATTTTGAGTTATAACATATAATTAGATTTGACTTAAGCCTTAGGGCGTTAGCCTTCAATTATTTTATTCTACACTCCTCTTGTAGATTTTTAAAATCTTTCACCCGAGGGATGCTCATCTCATAAATTGAAAAATTTGATGACCATTTTTTGTGTACTTAGTAAATAAACTATACAATTAATGTGTAATGATTATTATTTTATAAATAATAATAATTTATATTTTACATGATGATTGTTTTTGCTCCCTTCCAGCAATATGTTAACGCTCCCCCTCCGTATTGGGAAAGATAAACGAGCTTCTATAATACGAATAGACATAAATTTTGACTTGAAAGTTCATGTTAATTATGTTATTTATTTAAGAGCGCCCTTATACTAACTGTGCCGGAAGATCCCATTGATTAGGTTAGGTTAAGTTAGTATAAATTAGGTTTTATTTATAAGGGGTATAAGTACTCCTTATAGTTTTGTTTATAGTAGGTACTGTGTTAAGAGATGTTAGAACGTGTAGATACCTAAATTTCATGAAACCATATAATATTTAATTATTTAAATGTTGTCTATGATCGAACGAAAAAGCAAATGATTTTTAATGAATTTTACTCTAATTTATTTAAAAATAAAAATGATTAATTAAAATAGAATTTACCTATTTGTATCAATATTTGATTCCTATATATAATTATAATTTTTATACCATTTAATGAAATCATATAATATTTTAAGTGATGTTTACCTACTTTAAATATAATGGAAATCGACCCCATAAAACGTCGTAGTGTTAAAATATAATAATATACTAGCTGTTGTTATATTACGATTATCACGTTGAGTTTTTTGTTGTTTTCATTGTATAACTCTATTTCAAAATCGGACAAGAAATCCTACATTTTTGTTATCGTTTACTTGTTTTTATATAAAAGTTCATACTGACTACCAATCTCTAAAATATTTAAGCCTGGAAATGTTTTAGCCACTCCTGGAAAATACTTTAGAGTAGTTTTATTAAGAATTTTTCTTAAAAAAAATAAAAAAAAATATTCAATTTTAAATTTCTAGAGTTGATAAACAATATTAATTTTTTTCTATTTCAATGTTTTATGTTATCTTGAAAACGTATGCGTACTCATATACCACGAAAAAATGTTCACTATAAAGCCGTCCGGTGTTTATTATAATAAATTGAATTATTTTAACGTACTTAGAAGTGAAGAATAAGCACAACTGTGAGTTCATTAATAATTTCTTCATCGTAATAATATATAATAGTAAGACCAAAAGACCTAATATATGAATTTCCGTTTTGTAAACGTATATAGAATTATCACTTAAGTAATTTGATCAAAGACTGTTGATTATGGACATCTCTGTCAAAGTTCATTAGGTGAAATTAAAATATTGTTAAAATGGTTAAAATAGATAATTTAAGAATTTACCATTCTAATTTCTTAATTTTTTTTTACTTAACGTTTTGCAGGGATTTACGATGCTTAAGAAACACAATACACACAAATTTGATGTGCACTTATATTTTATCAGATTTTACATGGATCCTGACATCAACGCTACAGGTTTGTAAATAATTTACAAAACGAATTCCAATGAGGTTGCTTTCTTGAAATATATTGTTTAAAGTAATTTGTAACAAGTGAACACATGAATTAAAATAGTATTTTGTAATTTAAATTATTCCATGTTAAAGAAAATTCATTTTATTCTTAAAATCAGCTTTATATGTAAACAAAATCAACAGTAGGTATATATATATATATATAATGTTTAAATCGTCATTTGATTTTGGTTTAAAATAATTTATTATAACTATAAAGAATAAAGAGTTTTTATTTATTTGAATAATAATAATAATAATAAAACAGTTACATTTAAATGCAACAAGTAAATCAGTAACTCATATAATTATTTTACATATATTATAATAAACATTTAAGTTGAATGTTACATCAGACACAAATTATCGACGTAGATATATTCCACTAAATGTTGCTAAAAATTATTTTTTAATCGAGAGAAACAATGATTCGTCATCGCTTTTAAATTTAAAATGTATACTATTTACGCAAAGAAGAAATGACATAGGGAACCTAAATCCGTTTTACATGTAATTACATGTAATATATTTTTTTTGTCTCACAGATAATATCAGTATAATCATAGATTATAAATGTGTTGTTTAGATTAAACAGATCTATAAAATATACGTAAAAAATATCTCTTTGTTCTAATAATTTACAAAAATATGTCTTAAAAATGTATGTGAAAAAAAATGTAATTTATGTAAAATAAATAACTATTGCTTTTAGTTATTTTTTTGAAATTTTAAGTTTTAATATTTCAGAAAACGGTATTGTTGTTTTAAAATGTATTAAACGTTCTAACGAGAATTTATTTTTAAATTAAAATCAATGTGTTCAGTATAAATTTAAAATCAAACGAAAATTCTTTGATTTAATTTATAACCAAATACCATACTTTTATCTTCTTAAAAATACTTCACAAAATATATAATTGACTAAACACTAGTTCGGTGTCATTTAAAAGTTTAACAGAGGGACGCCATAGTATAATTTATATATAGAATCATTATTAAAATTCTGCTTAAAACTATATCGTTCAAAAAATTTTAAGGAAATTATATTGTTTTTTTTCGTTCATATTAGAATAATTTACAAAATGGTCATTAGAGTTTGAAAATTTTATTTACTTTTAAATGTTATACAGTTATAAATATATGTGTGTGTATATGATATAAATTATATGGGGAACTTCACTCATATTTTGTTGTAATTTATTGGTGTATAAGTGTAGTGAGCCGGTCTAATCAAAGACTAACTCAAAATGTTTTAACGACGAAGTCACCTTTTGTTGCGGTTTTTACACGTTCGATGGTAAAAGTTTGAAATAAATAAAAACACTTTTTAAGTTATAAATGTTATTTTATTATTACTGAAACACAACGTAATGTTAGCCCGATAAGTGAACATTGTAAGTTTAATAGAACCGGTCTACTCATAAGTCCGGTTACATTGTATCTGAATAAGTGACACTACGTCCTTATTTATACACAGATAGTTGGACGTAATGCGTAAAAATAGTTTTAGAACAAGGAAAAGACTCTTTTCGTTGCTCTTTTAACAAAAATAATATTAATATTGCCAATAACTTTTACTAATAAAAATATATCCGTTAACCTATTAGCTAATAATCCGTCTTCCAATATAAAAGTATCTTAATAAATAGTTGTTTCGACAACGCTCAAGGAAAATAGGTTAAGGAAAATATTAAAAAGTGTTTTAGGTTATGTCGTAGTGACCTCGGTTACTACATAAGTTTGTTTATTTATTTGTTTACTTTTTATTGATAAAAATAAATTTTAACGTAGGATTATCTTAATTAGGACCATTATAATGATATAATATCAAAATGTCATCAAAATATAAATAAAATGTAGCAAAATTAATAATTATAGTTATTTTGATTTAAAAACCATCCTATTGCTTTTGCATCGACTTTTAAGAATATATGCCGTTTTGTTTTCCTGACGAATTTTTTATTTTTTTACCAGGAATTTGCTTACTGTTCTCGTGATTCTATTTTGCGTCGATGAATAACAAATTTTCGTGGCCTGAAAATTTTACAGTCTTTCTCCATATATTTGTTAACCATTCGATGTACATTTAGATGGTTCCATTCGTCTCGCTGGAAGGGAATTTATTTTTACTTTTGACTTGCGCAATTCGTACCATATCGGTGGGATTGGTAATCGGTGATGGATTTCATTTGCGGGTTCTCATGGGCCTCATACGTTCGTGACCCGTTACACATCAGCTGCAGTCACACTTCACCCGATCACTACTATTTCTCTAATGATATCGTTTCGAATTTCCAGTCTCTGATTTGATAAAACAGAAGCGATCAATTACATGAATTTAAATTTAAATGTTAATTTAAATGATCGCAATTGATTCGATTTGTGTACATAACTCACGTTACGTAGTATATCTTAATGGGATTTGAATTTCAACAAAATGAACACAGAAGTTTTTCATAATACATTTTGATAAGCCTGCGCTCTATGGGAAACTCAACATTGTTTTCCTTTATTTAGTACAATATTTTTTATTTTTTATCTTTATATTTAAATCTGATATTATTCTGGCAATTAAGAAGGGTGTTATTAATATTAATGCCAATTTCTTTGTGTTTCATAAAAAAATAAAATGTTATACGTTAATCATTTTGCTACCTTTTAAATATTTAGAAATATTTTATAAACATAACTATCTTTATTCGTAATTAAATTATTGTACGTTACACAGTTAAAGTTGAATTATTAACATTCAATTTATTCTCATTGGTGTGTTTTGTAATTACATTTCACGCAGAACACCGACGAGCAAGCGTTAATTTATGAATAATGATTTTGAACACCAAACGGATTATGCTTCTTACTAAAACTACATATCATGTTTACAATATAAATTAATGTATTTTGTATAATAAAATTAATTTGTTACAGGAATGGCTAGCCGACAGTAACAGCGCTTGTGTTTTGCTCACATTTTCATTACATTACTTTGTTCTGACCAATTTTTTTTGGATGTTTGTCGAAGGTGAGAGTTGATTAAACCGAAAGTTTATACATTAATACTCAATACGTATATATATTTTTCAGGTCTTTATTTGTATATTTTGGTCGTAGAAACATTTACCCGGGAAAATATCAAGCTACGCGTTTACATGTTCATTGGCTGGGGTAAGTGTTTTTTTTTTACATTTTTTATAAATAGTGGTGGTTTGCAAATCATTATAGAAATAACTTTTGTTAATAATGATTAATGGATTATAATTTTTTTTAATTATTTTTTCTAAAAAAACAGCTAATGAAACCCAATTAGTATTTTATTGTTCTACTACAATTTTAATTCAGATCATTACATAAAAAATCTTCAGTTCACGAAGAATTATAGTGAAAATTATAATTAAACTCCCCTTTGTATGTAATTTATATTTGTTATAATAACACCATTTATTTTTATATCCTCAAAATAATTATTATTCGAGCCAAAATGTGACTGTCAGTAAGTTAAAATTTAACAAGATCCATATAATTGTAATTCAATTTTTAAATATATAAAAAGGATGGAGAAGAAAATTGATGTAATTATTGGGTTTATTAATTTATAAATTTACGTTCGAAGATTATTCAGTTGTCTTTGAATTATATTAATTTAGCGAGATAAAAGCTTTATGAATAATGTTCTCTCACGAGTCACAAAATTGTGTTATCAGCTATTACATGCAGTTTAATTTTCATAATAATAATAATAATAATAATAATAATATATAATATAGTTAAATTAAGATTTAATAAGCTCTTTTACTTTTGAACATAAGCTATATAAATTACCCAACATATTAGATACCAAAGTCTTGCGTAAGAAATATTTATACATCTTTACTATCATATTTTAATGAACAAGATAATTATTTAAAGAGTATATTTTCTTCAAAAACGAAATAAATGAAAATTATCTTAATATTTTGCATTTTAATCGGCTTTGTATTAATTTGTTTTACAAAATAAAAAAAAATAAAAACTGAGCAATTTTCATATTATTTAAACTATTTTAATATAAATGTTTAATTTTATTTACTTAGTAGTTTTATATTGATTTTCTTAAGGAAAAATACTCTCAATATTTTAATTTTTTTTTTTTTTATATAATATAATTACAATATTATTTAAAAAAAAAACAGAAGTAGAATCCTTCGTTACTGAGTTCCTGAAAAAATAGTTTATGGTATTAACTAGGCTTTTATATATATATATATATATACAGAGTGTTCCTTCCTGAAATGGTTGAGGAAGCTAGTATACGTGTACTCTCTGGGCTACACGTTTCTTATTACCTATTGGGTATAAAATATATTTTTTTTAAATTAACAAAATCATATTGGTCCTTAAATTGAAACTAAATAATTCAAGTCTTATGTAAATTAGCATTTTTTTTTTTCTAAAACAGAACAAATTAACTTTCTTTTTTCAAACTAAATTTTGTAAAATAAAAGTTTAAGCTATTAATTTCATTTTTATGTTATTGTCACATACGATGTACTTGAAATTAATTTAAACTTTTTTTATTGAGTTAATACCTGTTAGTGCTTATGTAGTTGGTGGTTCTATTAAATGTTTAATATTCAATTATGTTCATTGAAATGTATAAATTGACTGGAAACAATAAATATAATATACTTGATACATTTTTGATATATCAATTTTTGCAGTTTATACTGCACCTTGTTTGTTTGTTTAAACATTTTCATAAACATCATTGTCCAGTGTTCATATACCATATTATTTTATTAAATATATGGGATAAACCCTTTAGAACATATATACATATACACATTAATTGTACAATTTATGATAAATATTAAAAGTAATATTAAGACAGTAATTTATAGGTATGGAAGATATAAAGGGTCAACATTGGCGTTTTATATCATATGTCTGATAGGTTTATTTTTAAGGTAATAATTGGAGACAAAGGAACATAAAAAGGAACAACTGATAAAGAGGAACGTTGAGGTACTCTAAGACAAATGAAAAAAAGCAATTAGGAGAGTCGATATTATCTTATATCAAATTATATAAGAATTTAATTCCCGAAATATATTCAGTATACACACAATACGCTCAGCCAAGGAAACCAAACCATGTTAAGGAACAACAGGTCTATAGTCATGGGGTTCACAAGGAATATTCAATCTAAAATTAACATATCTCATAAATTTTCGCTGAACACTTTCAAGTATATTTGGTTGTTGAAATTTCAAAGCTGCAGAGTGTTACAGTAATTGACAAGGTCTATAGATGCTTTACAAATATCAATGGTATGTCATAAAAATACTTAGATGGCACGGGTACCATGAATTATTAAAGGAGAGGTATTATGTTGAGATTAAAATTGTTTGTTGTAACGGATTTTAATAAGTTTAAATTAAATAACAAGCATATTATTTTATGACATTAAAACAACTTGTAAATATGAGAAATTAAAAGTAAATTGATTTATATTATTTGTGTTAATTATTACACTTTTGATAAATTTAGCTTCCGCACTACTTTGCGATTTTTCATGTGGGTTGAAATGTTTTCTGGAAGAAACAAAGGAAACACGTCGCTGCGAATAATAACAATAAGAGAAAATTCGTTATTCTTCATAATTATATACTAATATCCGAAATAAATAATTTAGCTAAGAACAAACGTGATGCATCAGCGTTACCGTTATCTTATTATTTGATTATGCCGATTCCTATCAAAAGTTCTTTTTCGACATTGTTCACAAAAAATTCTTTAAAAGGTGATAGCTTAATACACGTTATTAGATTATTTACTACGAATGGTTATTTATTTGTAGACTTTTCGAATACGATTTGACTTTTACGTTTCATCAATATATTTTAGGACATTTTTGACCTATTTCTCGTATTATGACTAATTTCAGTTGATGTTGAGAAGTCATTTTCAGTATATAAAAACTTATTGGTAGACAACTGTCGATCATTAAAATTCCAAAACTTAAAAGAAATACTAATTGTACAGTGCAATTTAAATATGTAATTTAATTTTTAATTCAATTTTTGATTTTAATTTATTTTTATTTTTTGTATTGTAATTGTAAATAAAATTTCATTTTTTACTCATTTTTTAATAATAATTGGAATTTATTTAATAAATGATGCATTTTTTGATATTTTTAGGGCATTTTTTTGATATTTTTAGGGCATTTAATTCCAAGCCCTAATAATCAATATATTATGCGAGTTATATATACCGTATAATATTAATATTTTAATAGTTCTTAAAAAATTCTAAAGTTCTCAGACAAATGAGTATTAAAAGAAGTACATAAGCAAAAACTGAATTTTCTTTATTGAATTGGAAATTTTTGGGAGGATTTTTCTTAGTTTATCTTTCCACTTTTATAGGACTACTTATATACTTTATAGAACAATTGAAAATATTAAAATTAGATTACCATTTATATCCGATTTTCGATTTAACAAAACTTCGTATGAAATATTTGATGCAATTTTTCTACAGGAAAGTGCCGAAGAAAAAATACTTCACTGTAAAATCAATACATTCTTTCGTTTCATTCAGAATCTAACAATTCTATGATTATTCTATGTGTCACAAACACAACCAATTTTAATGAAGTACGGAAATTTAGTTAAAAAACTTCATTTAGTTATTGTTGAATCTTCTTTATATTGTTTATTAATTAATGCACATCTTATGCTAGACATTATTTCACTGAAATTACCAAAGTTATGAAACAATGTCTGCTATTAGTTAATACATTCAAATGGATCAGGTTTCTATTGAAAAAAGAAGTTGTCGAAGTATAGTTATATTATTGTCTTAATAGACGCGTCAAAACACCATTCTCAAAAATGATTTATTTATCGATTCACTATTTTATTCTAAATTATGGTGTCAAAACTAAAATACTCGAGTTTGACGAGTTGTTAGTGAAAACATCGTTACAATCTACTATGAAAATATTTCAAAAGTTTTATTTTGCTGAAACTTATAAAAAGCAATAGTTTTTTCGGCCGATAGTAATAATACAAATTTTGGCGGTGTTACTACAAGAATAAAAAACGATGTTTTTTAAGTTAAAAGAACTAATTAAGACGAATTTGATTGGAATTGGGTGTGCTTCATATATTTTATAATTATTATTATAAAATTTAATTTATTTTATAAAATTTAAAATTTTTTAATATTATTATTATTTTTTTATTTTTTTTATATTTTATATTTTATATTTTAATAATTCATTACAACTTACTGCAGACACTTTGCTATTAACATTTAAGCGGTCTTGGGAATCCTTCAAGGTCACACATTAACATATTTTGTTAGCATAAAATACTTATCTATATTAGGAAATTCAAAAATTCGGTAGTTATCACTATATAAAGCCTATGGAAATGTTTGAGGGACGAAAGTCTTATTTTTTTTATCTATTGAAAAATGTTCAGTCATATTTAATTTTATTTTTAAAATTCATCGTTTTTTTACAGTATTTTTTCAAACTCAACTTGAACTCTTTTTTTTAAAGTTTACAATTTAAAGTTGTTGAAGCAGCTGCGAATTTGTTTATTGTTGAAATTAAATACTATATAGACACATGAGTTTTAAAATTGATTCACGCAATATTAACAATTTTATGATTTCAGGAAACTGAATTAATAAAAAATTTAAAAAAGGAATCAATTTCAACACAAAATATGTACCTATAATAACTTTTAGATGATTTTTTTTCTGCCGTTGTTTAGACTAATCGAACGGAAAAATTTAATACTATAAATTCAACCACAAGTTCAAAAAAATTTCATGGATTACTTTAAAAAATATAGAAAACGATTTCTCCTTAAAAAATATTTCGAATACAATCAAATTGATAAAAACTAGAATTTTTAGTATTAGCAGACTTGGGTAATATTCCGAAAACAATATTCAGAATACTGTATTCAGAATATTTTTTAAATATTTCGAATACTTTTTAAATACTTTTTTTGAAAGTATTCAATAAAGTATTTTGAATACTTATAACGAGTATTCTGAATACTGTATTTCGAATACCATCAAATCATCTCTTTTTTAAATAATTTTATTACTTTTCCGTCGTATCTTGTATAAGCTAATATCAGGTATTTATTATTATTGTAAACCAT